TGAGTGGATACCCTGGGGACAGCTGCAGGTAACTCTTTCCCGGAAGAGCTGATTGCTGCTGGAATAACCGTCCAGCTCAGTGCCCTGCCCCCGTGATGACCTAAGTCATGCCAGCAGGGGATAATGCTTTAATAGAGCATCCGTCAGCAGCAGCTTCTGCACATCCTCCAGGGATCCAGCCCTTGGAGGGAGCAAGTCACAGGACGATGGCAAAGAACGCTGTCCACTGGTGAGGTGGCCAGCCTGCGAGTGACCAGGGACAGCGTGGGTTTAGACATACCCTTCTCACAGAGTGGCTGGCTATATCTGCGATGAGAAACTGAGTGCTTTGTCACCTGTGGTGTCAACAGCCCTGGAGTAACTTGTGGCTGCTGTCTCTTGTCCCAGCTCTGCTGGCTCTTACGGGTGGCAGTGTAGGTCTCTATTGATGGTAAGTAGGAAGCCAGACACATGTGAGAAACTGGGAGCAGGACCCTACTGTGAGTTCTGAGGCATCGAGGAGACCTGCAGAGGAGGGCTTGGGCTGAACAACAGATGGTGGAGGGGCCTGGGTAGGGTATGCAGCAAGGCAAGTCCTGGGCTATGGAACCTAGCACTGAGATGGCTGGGTCAGAATCTTTCACAACCTCCATTTTGTAGGCAATAGGAGCAAATTGCTGCATGTTGGCTGGGCTTGAGGGCTGTTGCTCTCCCGGTTAGGTTGCTTTCATGCCTGGTTATGATGGAGTCCTTACCAAGTAGCACTCCACTCAGGAGATGATGGGTCCTCGGGAACTCTCTGTTTGACTCTTCCTGGGGCTCCCTTTGCCCTACTCTGTGCCCTGCCCCAACACCTCCCTACGTGGGGCTTCTGCCTTGGTACTCTAACTTAGGCATACCTAACCTAACTGGCCACCTAACTTAGGCATACCTGACCAAGGATTAGAGCTACCAGCCACTGCATGGTGGCCTACGCTGTACTCTGTGACTTTGCCATGCCAGCATGGCGCATCTGTGGATCAACAGTGCCCTGGTCTTATGTTCACTTGTTCTTGGGGTAGAGAACCTTCCGAATGGTAGAAAGTACCGAAAGATGTCAGATCTGTGAGGTATCAAGGGCCCATCCAGTGCCACTGGGTACTCCACTTTGGCTGCACATGAAAGCTGCCTGGAAGGTTCCGAATAAAACTGCCTTTGCCAATTTCTGAAAATGATGATTTGATTTTTATGAGATGGGGCCTAGTAGCCAATTTCTAGGTGCTTCTAGGAGGAAGACTCACTGTTCCAGCCTTAAGGAGCTCAGGTGTCTGGGAGGGAGATGACCAGTGGTGGAGGAGCTGCCAGGAGCTGCTGGCAGAAGGTCTGCTCGATCCCCACCAGGGTTCACTGTACTTAGGGCTTCCTTTTGCTGTGATAAAGCAAAGCAGCCTGGGGAGGAAAATTTTATTTCAGCGTAAAGCTTGTAGTCCACCATCCAGGGATGGCAAGGTAGGAACTCAAGGCAGGAACTTGGGAGTCAGAGGCCATGGAGAGGTGCTGATTACTGAGTAGCTCAATCAGCTTCCTCATAGCATCCAGGACCACCAGTCCAGGGATGGCACTACACACAGTCATTTGGGCTCTCCCCCACTAACCATCAATTAATAAATACTCCACAAACTTACCCACAGGCTAATCTGGTAGAGGAATAGTCTCAACCGAGGTTCTCTCTTCCTAATAAAATGACTCCAGTTTGTATCAAGCTAACATAACAGAATATTTTTTTTTGGGTGGGGGTGGGACTCTGGAGTAACCTAAAAAAACATACTTAAGCCTGTGTTGGAGAGACGGCTCAGTGGTTAAGAAGACCCCAATTCAGTTCCCAGTATCCACCCCCTGGTGGCTAACAATCACCTGCAGACCGGGTGCCCTCTTCTCATCTCTCTGGGCACTGCACACATGTAATGTTCATTCACACATCCAGACAAACATCCACACACATGAAATAAAACAGTTTAATCTTGATGGAGTGGATCTTCATAGGTTCAGTGGTTAAAGGCATGTACTGCTGTTGCAGAGGGCTCACATTTGATTTCCAGCTCCATATCAGGTGACTCTCAACTTCCTGTAACTTTGGTTCCAGGGAGAATTGACTCCTCTGGTCTCCAAGGGCACCTTCACTCACATCCACACAACACACAACTGAAAAAAAAACCCAATAAAATAACAACAATAATCTTTTTAAAATACCTGTTGGAATTTGCATGTTCTTGGAGAACATCCTCAATAGAACCTCCAAGCATCCTTTCACTCATTTTCTATGCAGACTTCTAACTCAGAGATAACAGGATTTGTCTTACATCTTAACGCTGGGGTGGCACTTGGGTGACACTGTGCCAGACATTTGTCTAAGTCCTTGAAGCATTTGCAGTCTTTGTTAATTGCATAATGATTTCTGAAACAGGGGTTTCTCTGTGTAGTGCTAGCTGTCTGAAACTAGCTCTGTGGACCAGGCTGGCCTTGAACTCAGATATCCACCTGCCTCTGCCTTCCGAGTGCTGGGATTAAAGGTGTGAGGCAACACTGCCTGGCAGACGATGAATTTTTGCCCCCAAACTGGCTTATAGATCACCTTTAGCTGCAATGGCTTACAGCATTGTATTACTTTGGTCAGTCCTGAGAACCTGGTGGGGCCTAATAGCTTCAGTTCTGCCCTTTGGAGACCTCTTTGACTGACTGCCCATGGAAGATGGTTGGGAACCAGAGTCCGCTTCCCCAGGGCAGCATTCTTTGGCAGTGTCCTGGGAACTTCTTGGCCCCTGGGCTGCGTGGTCACAGCTGGTAGGCTGGCCCTCCCACAGCGGAAAGCTCTTTCTTAGACAGCCTAAGACTGCAGAGAAACAACAGTTTCTACCAGAAGAAGCTGGAGGTGTGGCTACCTTCTTTCCTAGGAGGACCACCCATTCTGGGGCTCTGAAAGTCCACACTTCAGAGAGGCGTGTCTTGCTGGAGAGCCTTTGTGGAGTGAGGCGTGGCCAGGAGGCAAAGGCCCCTGATGCTGGGGAGAGCAGGTATGCTCTGAGTTCTGAACTCATTCTGTAAGGGGGTGGCCAGCTTTCAAGGAAAGATGACCCCATGTGTGAGTAAAGAGTGTTTTTCAGGGTCAGGGGCTACCTGTTAGGAGGATGCATGGCAGAATTCTGGTTTCCCTACAAGGCTTGTGACTGGTTTGTATTCTCTAAATCTAAGATAAGATTTGGTTGCAAGCATTGTAACTCCCCAAGAATCAGAAAAAAATTCACTTTCATTGAGATATAATTCTCTTACTGTATGATTTCTTATTTAATGTATAGAATTCAATGGAGCTTATCTTTAGAGATAAGTAGCAGCATCACAGCTTTAGAAAATTATTCTATGTATATGTGTGTCTGTTCATTTTGTTTATAGGTGTGTGTGTGTTTGTGTGTGTGTGTGTGTGTGTGTGTGTGTGTGTGTAGGTACATGTACATGTAGAGGCCAGAGAAATCCTCGAGTGTTGTTCTTCCTCTGGCATCTACTTCTCCCCATCCCCCACCCTAGATGACACAGTCTTTCACTGACTTGGAGTTCAACTTGCTTGGTTGACCAGCAAGCCCCAGGGATCTGCCTGTTTTTGACTCTGACAAACTGGGGTTACAAGCACACATGACTATGCCAGGGCTTCTCAACATGGCCTCTGGGGATAGCACTCAGGTCCTTATGCTTGCATGGCAAACGCTTTGCTGCCTGTGCCATCTCTCAGTCTTGATAGATCACCTTTAGCTGCAACCCTTCTTTCTACCACCTGGACCCCGGGGCAAGCACCAATCTAGTCTGTCTACCGCAATTTGCCGCTCTGCCCAAATCACAGATGAACAGTGTCTTGTGTGGGCTTGTGCTTGCCTCCTTTCAAGCAGTGCAGTCTGCTCAAGTGTGTACCTCTCATCACAGCATCACTTCCTGCGGTCAAGCAAAGTCCTCTGCACAGGCAGACCTCCTCATATCCCTTCCCCATCAAGAGCAACTGAGTTTGTGTCAGTGGCATTTGGCTATCGTGGATTAGGCTGCTGCGACCTTTGTGTCCAGGTTTGTATGTGGACATGAGTTCAGCTCTTGAGACCGTTTCTAGGTGGCTTTTCAGGAGCCAGATCAAAAGCACGAGAGACTCCAGGAAAAGGACTTGCTAGAAGGAGAACGCTTGTTCCTTGGTTGTGTCCCTGGACCAGGTGGCAATTTGCAGTCACCCTTAGGAGAGCTTGCCATTCAGTGTGCAGTATCCTGTGAGGGCTCATGAAAGCTGTCCTGGTCCCTTCCCAGCAGTGGTCTGTGTCTGTTCTATAATGCTTCAAATTTTCACGTGTAATAAAAGTTACAATGAAAAGCCTGTGTGTGGATACATGAGTGGGAACTTAGTTGGCACAGTGTCCTGACATCCTCTCTACTCTTCTCTGATCTTCAGTATAGGGCACAGTCACGTGATTAAGACATTTATGAGTCATGAGAGGAAACTGGCCTGTACAGGTGAGAGTACAGGGCTAGGTGAGAGGAGCATGGATTCTAGCTCGGCAGCTTTCCGTAGCCTACTTTCCCCAAGACTGGTGCCTCTTGCCTGGGCTCCTGGGGAACTTGCTTATGTTCATGCCCCCGCTCCCCCGGACTTCAGTTTCCCTGTCACTGAGACAAGGTAGCATCAGCTGAGGCCGTCACTCTCAGACTGCATTTGAGATCGGAGCCTCCTTGGAGACAGCCCACTTCAGTCCACATGATGCCTACCCAGGAGCTCTGGGAGGTTTTCCTAGCTTGTGGACAGGCTGGCCAGGGGTCAGAGCAACTATCCCTGGCCAAGGACAGATGAACATGGGTATAGAAGCCCTTCAGCTTCCTCTCAGAAACTAGTCCAATACTGCATGCCATCCTTTGTTGATATCCTATGGTCATTTTCTGCAGTTCTCAAGTTCTGGTCAGGGCATTAATCCAGAATAGCTGTTCTTCATAAATCTACCTATCCTTTTCTTCTTTCCTAGGTAGCAGACTTTGGGGTGCTCACCCTGAGGAATTTTTGTTGTTTGCTGTCTTCTGCCTGAGTGCAGGTGCTTTCTGGCTATGATACTTCTGAGCCAGGTAAGGGAGCCCTACTAATCTCTGCAGAGCACACACCTAATGCTTGTACTTAATCATCACTGTGTGCAAACAGGTGTGAGCTGGATAGAGTCAGCAGGTTCGCCATGCCTAGTCTCAGCTGAGAGCCGCCAGGAGAGAGGCCCAGGGAACTCAGTGGCTGAGAATGATGAATGTGGATGGCAAATCATCTGAGAACTTTCACATGATCTTCAATGTGAAAGAATGTGCGTGGTCCTCCAGGACAGGGGTCCTTGGGCTGGGGATCTCATGATCCAGCTGGGCCTGAGTTTCCTCCCATGAAAATGCAATCCTTGAACTTGATCATTTAGCTGGAGTCTTAGCACTGGTCTCTGAGCTCCACAGAGCCACCTGTCTGCCTGGTGACCTGGGGCATATTGTTCTGGAGACAGAAGAAGGGATTGTGATGTTATCTAGAGGAGAGAGGTTTACAGAGGGGCAGATGCTGGGCATTGGTAGCTGGCCACTGACTTTCCACAGTGTGGGAAGCTCTTTGTCTCGTCAGGTTTTGCTCCCATGTATGGACCTACAGACCAAGAGACTTTCACAGGTTTCATTGGAAAGGGGCAGTCTCCTTGGAACTTAGACTGGGAAGATTCCTAAGGCTTCCCCCAGAGGAAGGACTCACATGCCTCCTACATTCTAGCCCCTTTCCTCTCTGTTGCTGTAGACACAGGACAGGTTTAAAGATGCTTGTAGAGTGATTGAAGGATTTGCAAAGCAGCCCCTTGTCTTGGCCATCCAGGCCAACACCATATAGAAAAAGAGGGTGATCATCTTCCAGGCACCTTCACTGGTGAGACTTTAGTATCAGCATTGCCACCATTCCTCTCTCTCTCTTGTGGAGGCTGAGCCTAGAGACGACGCCCTGGCTGGTCCGTCTGTTCTGTCTGCAGCGCAGTAGATAGAGTGCTGTGTGCTTGGCCTTCTTCGAAGGCAGCAGGTCTTGCCTCCTGTCTCTGGACAGCGGCTGTCTGCACAAAGCTCAGAAAACAGGTTCAGCAGGTTGTGTGTCCTGATCAGCAAGGCTCTGGCAGGCTCCTGTCCCCCAGTGCTGACTTCTCTGGTAGGAGAATGGCTCTGGCTGCCCTGGAGTCCTGTTACTCTAGGGAGGTTAGACCCTATTAGCTTTGGCCCTAGCATCAGATTTTCTCTTTAGGAACAGTCTGCCTATAGAGCAGCCTATTGATGTGACTATAGCCGCCATGCTGTCAAAGAGGAAATCTTACTTCTGCTCACGACTAAATACGCAAAGGGCAGGAACTCCACTTGGCAAATGGCCCTGTTTACTTGAGGCTGCCTTCCCTGAACTCAGGCAAAGTTCAGGTACAGTTGCTTGCAGATACGGGGACTCTGAGTTCCTAGAGCACTCCAGCTGCACTCAGCTTTGCCCTGCACTAGCAGGGCTTCCCAGTCAGCAGCCACTCACTGAGAACTGGAGGCCTCTCGGTAGAAGTGATTTCCTCCCCCGAGTAAGCCTGTCTACTCTGTAGCCCTGTGGCTTCCCCTGCTGGTGTCCCTTTTCTTATCAGACAGAAAGAATTTATTGGAGGCTGTGAGCAGCTATCCACGGGGAGATCTTGGACTTTACCTCACATGCAAGTGTGTTTCAGCCAGGTTCAGGCAGGTCCAAACAGGGCTGACACACGACATGGCAGGCGTTTTGACAAAGTGCTTTTATCTAGAAGTAAATTTGTTTCTTGAAACAATTGGTTATGAAGTAACTGTTTTATAGTCAGCTTTCTTCTTCCTCTTCCTCTTCTTCTCTCCTTCCCCTCTTCCTCCTCCTCCTCTTCTTCTTTGTTTTTTTGTAAGACCAGGGTTTCACTGTGTAGCCTTGGCTGATCTGGACTCACTTTGTAGACCATGCTGGTCTCGAACTCACAGAGATCCACCTGCCTGTGCCTCCCAGAGTGCTGGGATTACAGGTGTGCACCACTGTGCCTGCTATTTAGTCAGCTTTCTCCATGTCCCAAAATGCTTTAAAGATGGGAAACTTGGCTTTGGCTCATGGTTTCAGATGTTTCAGCTCATGGGTCCTGTGGCAACATAGTGCCAGAGTGCATGGCAAAGGAAGAGAGAGAGAGAGAGAGAGAGAGAGAGAGAGAACACATGCAAGTGAGCTAGTGCAATCAGGCTTCCATGATGTAACTTTCTTCCTTTCGTTAGGTTCCACCTCCTAAAGCTCCCATCACTTGGGAACCCTGTTACTTGAGTACCCAGCTTAATTGACATGGCCATTTGAGGACATTTCAGATTTAAAGCCAAACAGCACCTATACTATTTTATTCATTTATTATTAGCGCGTGTTAGCTAATGATGTTAACATTTCATAGCTAATAACATGTATTGTGACATTTTCATTCTTTTATATAATATACTCTGCACATATTTTTTGCTCCCGTTATTCTTTTGCGTCCGCCCTCCACCATCTGATAGTCTCTTTCGTTTTCGCAAGAAGCTCACTTTGACCCTTAATGTCTCTCTATGCATGTATGCACACACATGCGCGCACACACAGGATAGTGAAACTAAAATCTAATGGAAAGTGCCACAGCTTCAAAATGGCTATTGTAACTGGACTGTTAGAACACCTCCGTTGTTTGTTGAGATGTGTACATTTTGGAGATGGCTAATTCCAATGCATGATGTTTTTTTTATTAGCAAGCTCTTTATAATGAAGTTTTAATTAGTTTGAAAAATATGCAGAAAACACTTTCAGTCTTCATTGTGCACACAGACCACACTTTCTTTATCCACATGTCTATTGCCAGCAACCTAGACTGCTTCCACACTGGGCTACTGGAGCTAGTGTGCAATCGACATGGAAAAGAGGTCTCTGTGCTATGCCCACCTGGAGCCCTTCAGGTACATAGGCCGGTGTGGAAAAGCTGGGTCACATGATGGTTCTCTGTCTGGTGTTTTTGAAGATCCTCTGTACTGATTTCCATAGAAACTGCATTAGTTTACATTCCCACCAGCAGTGAATAGGCCTCCTCCTTTCCCACATCCTCGCCAGCACTCATTGTTTGTCTTCTCCACGATAGCCAATCTGCCTGGAGTCAGATGGAATCGCAGTGTAATTCTGGTTTGCATTTCCTTGATGCCTAAGGATGTTGAGTACTTCCTCATGTGTTTACTGCTCACTCGTACTTCTATTGAGAACTGTCTGCTCAATCCCTTTGTGTACTTGCTCACTGAATGTTTGGTCTTTGAGTTCTTCGCAGATTCCACTGCAGTAGCTTAGGCAGTAGGATCCCCTAGGCATTCATGTGTGAGTTTGTTTGGAAACATGATGTGCTGTACACCCAAACTCTTAGCAAGAGAAAAGGAAACTTCTTTTCCTTGGCACACTAGTGCACCCATCTGGACCCTGGGATATCAGGCCCACACTCTACTAAGACGCAGCTAGATGCCTTCCCCCTTTCTGGATTTGGCAGCTGTCATTTTCTGGTTGTTTGAATATATGAACTTCACTGCCACAGACTCATGTTTCAGACAGAACAGAGGGCTTCTGGTTGCTCCGTTCAGGGTGGAGATTGACAGAAGGTGGCCTCATCTATAGGAACATACCCATCGTGCATACACAGTATGCCTCTTGTTAGTCCTAGGAGAATGTTCCATCTGGGTCAGAAGGGAGGTAAGGCACTGGACATCAGCAGAGACCTCGGACCTGGTCACTGAGGGCCTCAGGAAGCGTCAGACTCTCGCAGCCTGTCCTTTGGAAATACCTGCCTGCTTCTTCCCACCAACTCTGCTTTAAGAACACCTTTCTCTGGCCTGGAGAGATGGCTCAGAGGTTAAGAGCACTGGCTGCTCTTCCAGAGGTCCTGAGTTCAATTCCCAGCAACATATGGTGGCTCACAACCACAACCATCTCACAACAATCTGTTGCCCTCTTCCGGTGTGCAGGTGTACGTGCAAAACACAACATTGTATACATAATAAATAAATATATCTTTAAAAAAAAAGAGAACACCTTTCTCTGTCCTTTCTTACAGATCTAGCACACTGGCTTCTGTATTAACTTTGGGGTTTTGCCTGCCTGGTCTTGCTTCACTTAGGATCCGTTCCTGACTTTGTAGACTTGGCTTTTTTTCATTTGTAAGGTTAGTGACCTCCTTCCTCTCTCCTCCCTGTCCCTTGCCTTATCAAAGAGAGGGAGGGAGCCAGTAGGTGGCAGATGTCTTAGAGCAGTAGTTCTCAACCTGTGGGTCACAACCCTTCTGGGCGGCATTGAATGACCCTTTCCTAAGACCATTGGAAAACACAGGTGCTTATATTTCAGCTCACAACAGTAGCAAAATTAGTTATGAAGTAACAACGAAAATAATTCTATGGTTTGGGGTTACAACACGAGGAACTGTATTAAAGGGTCGCAGCATTACGAAGGTTGAGGACCACTGCCTAGAGCTAGTTACCTCATGGGCCAACGTCTGCATCCTGTGACTGTACCTATGCTGAACTGTTTATGCTGAAAGGAGAGGTGCGTGTGTTTAGATGCATGCTGATACCTCTTTGTTAGGGTCTAGGTTGTCATCCAGTGGCGCTTTTGTTTTGTTGGACAAGCATCCGGCTGTGCTGATGTTTGCTCTGTTGCCATCTGTGGCTCAGCACTGTCCCAGGAGCATCAGCTGATGGAGTGAGGAAAGGAAGAAGCTGAGCATCCCTGTATCACCTGCTTGCGAAGATAGAGGCAGATGGAAATGCACCCTTGGGTGCGTCTTCCCCTGTGCCTCTTCGATTCCCTACAGTTTGACATACATTGTTTATTTTTATTCTCTTCACCTTGACAGTAGGTCGATGAGCTCTGACCACAGCTCACAGATCCCAGCTCTCCTGTCCTCATCATGCTCTGTCTAGGGGGTGATTACGGCAGGGCCAGAAATAACCCCACTTCATTCCATTCCCCACCTTGATAATGAAATCATCTCCAACAACACAGACACAATGTCACCTTGGGCCTTTTCGGGCTCCTTTGT